AAGGGAATGGAATTAGTATGAGAAAAGGAAAAAATGGAAACAAAGTCTTTGTAAATAGGGAAGGGTGGAGGGATTGAAGGGAGGGCAGGGGAATGGGAAAAAAATAAGAACCAAGATACATTATGTAAAGGTACAAATTTCCAACGAGGGATGTCATTCATTATATTGTATACCTAAAATGTACCAATAAAACTAATTTTAAAAATAACCTAATGATGTACGTCAAGGTCCTAGAAAAACAAGAACAAACCAAATCCAGAGTTTGTACAAAGAAGGAAATTAGAAAGATCAGAGCAGAAATCAATCAAATGTAAACTGAAAAAACAATAAAGACTCAATGAATTGAAGAGCTGGCTCTTTGAAAGAATAAATAAGATAGACAAATCATTAGCCAATCTTACCAAAAAGGAAAAAAAATGGAAAGAAAAAATAAAAATCAATGCAACTAGAAATGAAAAAGGTGAAATCACTGTGGACACTGCTGAAGTCCAGAAAATTACAAGTTACTACTTCACAAATCTACATGGCAAGAAATTAGAGAACTCAGAAGAAATGGAGAGATTTCTAGATATTTACAAATTACCAAAAATTAACCAAGAAGAGTGAAAATCCTGAATAATTCAATAACAGGCAACGAAATTGAAACACTAATAAAAAACTTACCAACTAAGAAAAGCCTAGGATCTGATAGATTCACTGTCCAATTCTACAAGACCTTCAGGGAAGATTTAACACCAATTCTTCTCAAAGTCTTTAATGAAATCAAGAGGGAAGGAGTACTGCCAAAATCATTCTTGGAAGCTAGGATTACCCTAATTCCAAAACCAAATGAGGATCCAACCACAAAAGAGAACTACAGGCCAATCTTTCTAGATGCCAAAACCCTCAGCATGATACTGGCAAATAGAATGCAACAAACCATCAAAAAGATTATATACCATGACCAAGTAGGCTTCATCCCAGGGATGCAAGGATGGTTCAATTCATGCAAATCAATAAATGTAATTCATCATATAAACAGAAACAAGGACAAAAATAACACAATCATCTCAATAGACACAGAAAAAGCCTTTGACAAAATCCAACATAATTGAGAGAGGGAGGGAGGGAGGGAGGGAGAGAGAGAGTAGCAGATAGATAAATACGAAGTAGGGAGATCTTTTTTTTGTTTTGTTTTGTTTTTTGGTACCAGGGGACAAACTCTGGTCCTTGCGCTTGCGCAGCAGGTGGCAAAACCACTGAGCTAAATCCCCAGGCCCAAGGGAAATCTTTTTTAAATGGTTGGGGGACCAAGAGATGAAGGAAGAGGAAGGGGGTCAGGGAAAGGGAATGAAAAAAAAATGAAGTGAAGGGGATTGAAGGGAAAAGAGCTTTTGCCAATGGGAAGGGGACCAAGAGTTGAAAGGAGCAGGGAGGAAGGGGAGGGGTAGAGGATTAAATACAAATGAAGATATATTATGTACATGCGCCAACTCCCCATGATGAATGTAGTCATTGTGTACTGTAAACATGAAGAAAAATAGATTAAGATCTTGTTATATTTCCCAGGCTGGCCTGGAACTTCTGGGGTTAAGTGATTCACCTATCTCAGCCTCTAGAAGAGGAAAAAAGTTATTGTTTAAAAGTCTTATAGTCAGCTGTGGTGGCACATGTCTGTAATTTCAGCACTCTGTGAGGCTGAGGCAGGAGAATCACAGGTTCAAGCCCAGCCTGGGAAATTTAGTGAGACCCTCGAGATAAAAAAATTTAAAAAGGGTTAGGATGTAGCTTAATGTGAAGGCCCTGGGTTCAAGTACAAGTATTGAAAAAAAGTTGATTTTTGTACATTGCAATTGCAAGTGGGAAACTTGATACTTTTTTTTACTGATGTAATCAATCATCAGTAGATGTGTGTGTGTGGTGTGTAGTGTATTTGGTGAGGTTTCTACATAGATTAATAATTCTTAAGGAGGTGTACCTTCCCCTACACATTTGGAAATGTGTAGGAGAGGTTTCTTGTGCCCCAAAATTTATACATCAAAATGCATATGTATTTTTCTTTTGTTTATCTTTTATATTAAAATAAGGTACTAGGTTGTTTTTTGGTGGCACACATTTGTAATCCCAGGATTCTGAAAGGCTAAGGCAGAAGGACTGAAAGTTTGAGCCCAGCCTAGGCAGCTCGGCAATTTAGTAAGATCTGGTCTCAAAAAATAAAAACCAAAGAAACAAAGAGGGCTGGAGGGAAAAAGAGCTGTGTTCAACCTCCATTAGTGGGGGGAAAAAGAAAAGAAAAAATAAGTATATAAGCAGACTATATCATCTAAGAATTTCCTTTCAGGATGCAAAGGTTGACATTACTTTTTATAGAAAGAAGAAGTTGGATCTGATGGGGCTGTGAACATCTGAGGTTTTAAATAAACATCTTTATTTCCAATCATAGTTTTGTATCCTCATTGTGACAACCTTGACTGCCAACTTGATTGGCTTGAGAGCTGTCTAGGGGAGTAGTAAAGCACACTTCCGGGTGTGCCTGGGTGGGTAATGGAGGTGTGACCTTGGGGAGTAGGACTACATCTGGTTCCTGGTGCTCTTCCCCTGTGCTCTTCTTCCTACTACCATAAAGTGAGCAGGTTTGTTCCGCCTTGCCCTTCCGCCATGATGTTTCTGTGTTGGAGCCAGCCCACCATGGGCTGAAATTTCTGAAACTCTGAGCCAAATCAAACTCTCTATAAGTTGTGGGTGTAAAGTGTTTTGTCCCAGCAATGGAAGAGTGACTACTACATTCATTTTGTCATGCTTTCCAGTGCTGGTCAATGTTGAATAACAGTGATGATGGGCACATCTGGTCTTATTCCTAACCTGAGAGGAAATGTTTTCACCTCTTACTAAGGTTGTCTTTCAAATCACCAATGGATGTTGAATTTTCTCAAACTCCCCCCACCTTCCATCTGAGATGTTCGTAATTCTCTTGATGTGATGTACCATGAATGGACCTTCCAGTCTTATTTTGAGACAGGGTCTCACTAAGGTGCTCAAGATGGCCTTGAATTTGCAATCTTCCTGCCCCAGTCTCCCCAGTGCTGAGATTATAGGTGTGCATCACCATGCCTGGCCACCATGCTGGGCTCCCTTTTGCCTTATTTGTTTTCCCTTTTTTGTGATGCTAGGTGTGGAACCTGGGTCTTAGGCATATGGCATGCTAGGCAAGCCTGGTAATGATGAACTATACTTGCAGCCTGGTATTCCTTTCTTTCTTTCTGGAGACAGGGACTCTCTATATAATTCAGGCTGGCCTTGAACTCACTATGTAGTCCAGCCTGGCTTCAAATTCATGGCAATCCTCCTCCCTCAGCCTCCTGAGTGCTGAGATTACAGAAGTATGTGCCATCATTCCCCATCTATGATTAATTTTCTTAATGCTAAAACCATCTGGACTTTCTGGGATAAACCCCGCTCTGCCTCGATACATTCTCTTTTTTACTTATTGCTGCCCCTGAAATGGAAAGGAGCAAAGGATAAAGCGGAGACTAACAGGCTCAAAGCCTAACAAAGACTGCTGGGCTCAAGACTAACCGGTCTCAAGTCTAGCTCCTCCCACTAAACCCATGAAGGTCACTGTGCCCAAAAGATGAACTGCTGAAACAACAGCTGCCTGTACCCCCCCATGTCTTAGAAAGATGAACTGTAAAAGTGTTAAGGATAAACTGTAAAAGCAACATTTGCCTCTACCTCCCTACCCTTTGCTAAGTTCTGCTTCTGTAAAATTCTTCTTGCTTCCCTGCCCTGGCAAGAAGAACAGATAAATGTGAGATCAAACAGAGAAACGGGGCTCAGACTCTGGAAGGTGAAGTCCACTGGGCCCCTAGTTAGCAAATAAACCTGCCTTTCCCTTCAGTTCTCCGAGTGCCGCTCTCTTCCTTGGTCTGCCTGCCCTCCGAGTGCCACTTTACCCCCACTCCCTTTGTTACTGAGGATTGAACCCCGGGCCTCACACATGCTAGCAAGCACTCTACCACTGAGTTATATCCTCAGCCATCGTCTGCCAGGGTTTTTATGTCTACGTCTGTGAGACAAGTGGATTGGTTTCCCAGCTCGTGGAGTCCTTGGGAAGTGTGGGTCAAAGACATGCTTGCCTCTTAAAGGAAGTTAGGAGGACTCGCTGGCTGGCTGCTTCCCCGTGTCCGCTGGGGGTAAGCAGTGATGTCGGGGAGTGTGAGGAGGCAGAGTCTGATTGTCCACCCCAGAAATGTCTAACAAGGGCGCCAGAGCTCCTGCTGCTATTGCCTCCCTAGGACCCCAAGCCGCCTGAAACCATCACCCAGACACCTTAGCTCAGCTCACCAATTTCCTGTTCTGGGAATGCAGAGCAACACGGATCTATTGTGGTTGTCCTCTGGCGGCCGCAAGGCGCACGAGCCGGAGGAGCCAGCCAGGCTGGATTAGCCAAGAGATGGCGCCAGGAGAACCTGGTGGACTCGTCAGGCAGCACCACGTGGCGCCACGGCTCTGAGGCCCAAGCTGTCTTCCCTGCGCCTGTATACGTGAACAACGCAGCCTCGGAGACCGAGTGACCAGGATCCAGAGTTACACAACTGACCTCTAACTACAGCTTTCCATCCTAAGCAGTGAAGTTCCTGAGCCTTAAGATCTTTTAACTGTAAAATGTGAACAATTCCCCAGCCTGTCAAGGAAATAGGAGAAAGTTGTTTTTCACAGCGGTAGGCAAAATAATGGCCTCTCCAAAGACGTCTACACTGTAGTCCCTGAAGCTTGTGAATATATTGGGTAATATGGCAAAGGAAAGTAAGCTTACAGATAGACTGAAGATTGCTAATTAGCTGGTAGTGCAGGCGTGGGAGCCTGCATTTGGCGGGGGGCGCTAAGGCAGGAGAATTGCAAAATCTAGCCCAACCTAGGCAATTTAGTGACTTAGTGAGCTCCTGTTTTAACAACCACCACCAAAAAAAAAAAAAAAAAAAAAAGGATAATTCTGGATTATCCAGGTGGGTCCACTGACTAAAAAGGGCTGGAGATGTAGCTCAGTAGTAGAGTGCTTGTCTAGCATGTTTGAGACCAAGGTTTGATACCCAGCACTGGGAGTTGGAGTAGAAGAGTGGGAGAGAGATTTGGCTCTGGAAGTAAGGCACAGAGAGATGCAACATTACTGGTTTTGAAGATGGAGGAAGGGGAAAAGCAAAGAAATAGATTCTCCCCTACAGTACTCAGGAAGGAATGCAGCCCTACAACACCTTGATTTTAGGCCACTGAGACTGTGTTGGATGATGGAATTGTAGGATAATAAGTTTATGGGATTTTTTTTTTTTTTTTTAGACAGAGTCTTGATTTGTAGTTCAGAGTGGCCTCAAACTGACTATGTAGCTCAGGCTGGCCTCAAACTCATGGCAATCCTCTTGTCTCAGCCTTGTATGTGCTGGGATTATAGGCATTCATTACTACACCTGGAGGGAATTTGTTACAGCAGCCAGGAAATTAATACAATGTCCTCACAGATACAGCCTACACCACTGAGACAGACAGGTACTCATCAGCTCATTCATTCACCCCTAAATCATTCAGGAAGCACATGCTATGGGCTGCTCAGAAGCAAGGCCAGCAGAAAAGAAGTGGCTATGTCTACTAGGGGTCCCTGGTCAGGACGGCAGAAAGGTCACTTGGATGGTACCTCCTCCTCCTCCTGCCTTGACTGGGCTTCAGTTTTCACTTTTTACAGTGGGCATTTTGACTTCACAAGGGTACTTGGGGGAAGGCTGTCAGGTACTCCTCAGTTCTAAGTGCAGGTTGACTTCTGGGAGGGGATATTTGTCTGATGATTGTCAGCCCAGCTCGTGTATTTGTAGGGGAAGTGATGGAGATGAAAAGTCATATTTGTACTGCATTTGATAGGTGACATTGATCCTGACACTGAATGCTCCATTGCCCACAATGAGTGGGTTTTGTCCTGGAAGGCTTGGGGAGTTGGGTTGGCCAGGACAAACAGTCATACCTAGCCCAGTGGTCCTCAAACTGAGCTGGACATTAGACTCAATGGAGGAACTAAAAAAACCCACCCACATGTCTGGAGCCACCCCCAGGTCAATTACGATCAGAACTGCTGAAGATGAGGCCAAGAAAATATACCAGGATGTAGGTTTTTAGAAACCTTCCCGAGGTGATTTCAATGCACAACTGAGGTTCAGATACAGGTGAAGATACTGGTCGGACAAAATGCATCTGTGCAGGAGAGATGCATTCTCAGCCAGGCAAACGTCACAAGTAATGGTCCTGGGGGCTGAAGCCACTTCTCCACCCAGCCCAGTCGGCCTCAGGAGATCCTGTGTCCTTGGCTACAGCTCAGCGTGGGGCTGTGCAGTGCCTTCCACATGAGCAACATCTCGTAGGGTGCAAAGCGATGCACGATCAGCAGCTCACGGTATATGCAGGGGTCGAAGGAGGGCTGTTGGGCTCCGGGCAGCTGGACGCCGAAGGGCCGGATGCCCTCGTGGCCACTGGGCTCCAGGCGGGCCTGCTGCAGACACATGCCCATGTAGGCGTCGTCGATGGGGAACAGAGGGATTTGATGGGCAGCTGCACGCAGGGCCTGGGCTGTGTAGCTGGATAGGAGGAAGCCGCCGCCACTGCAGTACACCGGGTAGGCCTTCCCAGGGAAGAGCTGCGGGGGCACAAAGTACTTGCTCCAGCTGTCACGGATGGGCACGGAGCCATGCATAAGCTGCCCGGTGAAGAGATGGTGGTCGGGCGACTGCGCCTCCAGGAAGCTGAGCACGTTGGTGGTGTGCACGAACACGTCGTCATCACAGCTGAGCAGGAAGCGTGCATGCGGGCAGCGTGTGGCCAGCCAGTTGAGCAGGTGCACATGCTTGAGCGTGAGGTTGAGGAAGGTGTCAGCGAAGGCCCATTGCAACACATCGCCGTGCTTGCGCGCCTCCAGGTCCACCAGCTCGGCCAGCTGCGGAGCGAGCGCCGCCTGCTCGGGCCTTGGATTGCCCAGCAGGAAGAGGCAGCGCACGTGCCGCCCGCGGTAGCTGCGTTCCTGGCCCCACGTGCGCCTGATGAGTTCGCGGCGCTCGTAGTTCTCAGGAGATGATTTTACAGCCAGGAGCAGGAAGACTGCGCGGCGGCCCGCGCACTTCGATGGCGCATCCCAGAGAATCGGGAATTGGCGGCAGTGTCTGTACAGCAGGAAGTTTTGGATCCTGGCGGGCAGCTGCTCAAAGTTGGCCACACTGTTCGCGGAGGCATTGGCCACACACGGGGTCCTGGGGTGCAGTGCTAAGGGCTGCACAGGAACAGCGGGAACATCAGTGGGGTCCTCTCCCTTCTTCTCCAGCGGGGACCCCAATTCTTGGAGGAGCCACAGGCGCAGTGCTGACAAACTCATGGCCACCAGCAGGAAGGTCACAGCCTTCAGATTCGTGGACCTGTGGCACAGAAAAGCCATCTGTGGGGGAAACCAAATCATAAGTGAACCAGGAGTCATCTTGTAAAAAAAGGAGCCAAAATTCAAGATTACACTGTAGTATCTCATGTCTCCCACAGTCAGGAACATTCTTCTCTCCTGCAAAGCTGTATTTCTTCTTGCTGCTGGATAGCCTTTGGATGTCACCTGGGCCCAGCAACTCCTCCTATCCAGTCAGTCTCCATCTTGCTGTGAATTCATTTGTATCCTGCTTTTCTCACCGTAGTGAATGGTACCACCACTCATCGAGTTCCTCCAACTAGAAACCTTGACCCACTCCCCTGCCCCTTTCAGCTTATATCCACTCCTCACACCCTTTGCCTTTGCATGCTACACTTCTCTCATGTTTATTCCCTTTTTGCATCCCTGATCAGCCTGGATCCTCTCTAATCTATTTCCCTCGTTGTGGTTGTCCATGGAAGCAGGAGGTCAGAACACTGAACAGTTCTGGCTGCACTGCTTAGGACTGCACTATCTAACCAAGTCATTTTAGATCTACAGGCCTGAGTGTTCTCTTCTAAAGCACAGGTTAGTAGATTACTACTTTTTAGTACTGTGAGCATTAAATGAACATAGCATGGCCCCTGAATGGATGATACCAATATTGTGACCTTTTGGTATCCTTCAGTTCCACTTGCTTCTATTTTTGGCTGCTAGTATTATTTGCTGTTCTTCACACCTATGAAGTCATGCCCTCTCTTGTATGTAGCCTGCCCAGGTGCACTCCAAGTGTGGGCTTAATGAAGACCCCCCCACCCTGGAAGGCACACACCTGTAATCTGTACCCTCAGGAGGCTGAGGCAAAAGGACTACCGTGAGTTCAAGGCCAGCCTGGACTACCTATTGAGACTCCTGTCTCAAAAATGAAACCAAACCAACCCAAACAACCCAAGACAATTCCTAGATCATAGCAACATTTTTATATTATCCTATTATACATAACTTGGTCATATTGAGTTCTGTCATACATGGGGCCCTGCCACTCTCTTAAAACATATTCCTCTCTCCATTTCATGGATTCCACACTCTCCTAATTCTCCTCTTCTTTAACCATGTCCCTCAGTTTTCTTCATTCAGGTTGCCCTCTGTAAAGACCTTTAGTGGTGAGGGCTCTCCAGGGCTCTGTCTTGGATATTCCTTTCACCTTTGTTCAGCATGACTCCCTTCTTTACTGGGACTCCCAATCCCCAAAATTAGCCACCTGTTATTTAGCAGCTCCACCACCACTAGTGTTCAAGCCAAAAGCTTTGACTTTCTCCTTTCCCTCATTTCTGCACCCAACCCAGAGTGCAGAAATTTGTCTTTTTTTCTTCTTTGGTACCAGGGATCGAACTCAGGACCTTTTGCTTATGAGGCAGGCAAGGTGCCACTGAGCTAAATCCCCAGCCCCTGTCTTTTCTTTGATATGGGGAATTAAACCCAGGTCTTCACAGTGAGCTACATCACAAGCCCGTTATTATTTTTATTTTGAGTCAGGGTCTTGCTAAGTTGTCCAGATGGAACTCCAACTTGCAATCATCCTGCCTCAGGTTCCCCAGATGCTGGGATTACAGGTATGCACCACTGTACCAGGCCTAGTCAGTTTTTTTTTTTGGTACCGGGGATTGAACTCAGGACCTCTCACTTGCCAGGCTGGTGCTGTGCCACTTACTTCTAATTACTAAATATTTTGTTAACTTACACAGTTCCAGTCTATCAACAGGCTAATCCAATCCAGCCTCTCCTGCTCAGTTGAGAACCTCCTGCCTGGTTGGTCTCTTCTCTCATTTTCTCCCTTCAGCCTAGCCCCTCCTCTGTTGCAGCTAGGGTGGCCTTTGGACAGTGCAGATGTAGATGTCCTTCCTCAGTCTCTTTTCTCCAGCTTCCCTGAGAGCCACTTGACTTGGCCATCAGCCAGTCAGCAATTGTAGCTGCCAACTGCTAAGCTTCTTTTTGACCTATGAAAAAGAAAAAAGAGCTTTTTCCTGTGCTGTTCACCTGCCAAGACTGACTGCCCCTTCCTTCCCCTGCCTAGATAAGGCCTACTTTCTGATTCACTTAATTTTTTTTAGCCAGTCTGTGTCATCCAGTTTGGACCTAAATTTATGATTCTCCTGTCTCAGCTTCCTTAGTAGCTGGGATTATAAGGCACCTGGCACTGCACCTGCCTCCTTGGTCCACTTGAAGGACATTTTTTTTTGTTCCAGGAATCAAACTCAGGATCTTGTTCTTGCCAGACAGGTGTGGTACCACTGAGCTAAATCCCTAGCCCTGAAGGAGATATTCTTAGAGAAGCTTTAGTGAAGCTCAAAGGAGACCAGGTGCCCAGTTAATCATTCTTGGGTTAGTCTGTCAGCTTCTTGAAGTCAGGAGTCGCATTTGTGTTGTCCACTATTGGATTCCCTGTGCCATGCACAATAAAGTGCACAAATGCTGTTTTCCTGGGTTTGAATTCCACCTGTATGATTTCCTAGCTGCATGGCTGAGCAAGTTGATGTCCAGTGGTGGGAAACCTATGGCACACGGTCACAGCAGGCTGTTATCATTGAAAGCTCTAAAAGGTTCAACATCACTGAAGTAGGCTCTCTAATACTTACCTCTTAAGGAGTTTTTGTGAAGACTAAATGATAATTTATGTAAAGAATTTGAGTTGGGTATGGTGGTGCATACCTTGACGGAGCCAGCCGTCACTTGTCGAACAGCACCTGAATGGGGGAGTGAGGATGAAGAAAAAGAAAGACGCAGAGATAGAGTTGGGATCCTCCCAGAGAGACTGCCGCTGCGCTTTTTTATTCTCCTCCCCTTTTTTTCACAGGTGAGTTTGGTTATTAATCATGACCCTTATCCAAAGACACCTGCTTCCTTGTTCTCTAGTTCTTTGGAAATTCCCCACCCTCATGGGCTTTCTTGTTTCTCGGGTTTACAAAACGTTCATCATGTTCCAGGACAATTTCTGAAGGTAAACATCTAATTTGGCAAGGACGCAGTTCCTCGTAACATAGTCTCCTTGCTCTATACAATGGAGGGTAAGATTTAACACGGAGCCTCTATGGCTAACACCGCTCTCCACAATACCTATAATCCCAGCATTCTGGGAGGCTGAGGAAGGATGATTGGAAGTTTAAGCCCAGCTGGGGCAATTTAGCTGCTTTGTGAGACCCTTTAAAATAAAATAAAATAAAAAAGGAGGTAGGGGAGCGGATCTGAAAATGTAGTGAAGGCCCGGGGTTCAATCCCCAGTACTGAAAAAAATGGTATAGTGCTTTGTATATAGTGTAAGTGTTCATTGCTAGCTATTATGATTATCAAGGTGCCAATAAATAGTTGTTGAATGACTACTTTCCCCAGAGTAGTCATTTGTGTTTATTTGGATTCCGCTGTGCTCAGTTGCATGTTCAATAAATATTTTTTAGAATGAGTAGTTTGCACAGAGTAGGTGTCATTGGATTGGACTGTGCTCTAGTGCTTGTGTAATACTGTCCATATGCAACAGTGAGCTCAGAGTGAGCCCAGATCAGGTGTTTGTGAAGAATGGCAGCAAGTTACCAAATGAATAGGAGAACCCTACAGATGTATCAGAGTCCTCACTGAGAACCTATTAGAAATCTAGGTATAGTTTTCTGTGAGTTTTTGTTTTGTTTTTTTCTTTTGAGACAGGGTCTTGCTGTGTAGGCCAGGCTAGCCATGAACTGATGATCCTCCTGGCTCAGCTTCCTGAGTGCTGGGATTACAGGTATGTGCCACCACACTTGGCTTTCTGTTGCTCTTAACACAACCCTACTTCAGTGTCTGAGCATGGAAAGATGAAGGATGGTGAGATGAGCTGTTATCATCATAGGTACTCAGTGCATAGTCCTGTGCCTGGAGCATTTCGGGCAGGCAATAAATAGTTTTCAATGAATAAAAAAATGAAAATAGAATTTGGAGTCTGAACAACTGGGCTTGTGTTTGAGCTCCTTTCCCAAGTTAACCTCCTAGGTTTCAGTTTCCTCATCTGAAAAACTGAGAAATATTCATCTGTCAATAATATAAGAAAATAATGTTGTGAGTACTAAAGTGTCTTACAAATGCTGGTTAAGAAAATAAAAAATATGCCTCTTTACTGTGAATTATTTCTAGAAAGAAAAATAATATCAGTCTTTTTTTTTTTTTTATTGACCTCAGGACCTTGTGCTTGTGAGGCAGGTGCAGTGCCACTGAGCTAATCTCAGCCCCTGTATAATCTCAGTCTTAATACAGTGATAAACAGTGTGCCAAGGAAATGTGCATTTACTTTGATAAACCTGAGCCAGTAACCTGGATCCTAGCCAACTTTGATAGAAGAGAGGAAAAGGTGTAGGAACGGGCCTGTTTTGAGGGCAGCGCTGGCTTGTTCACCTCTGTTCTTAGGTGCTGGGCTGTGCAGCCTGAGAGCTTTGACTTGCTGAGAAGCATTGAGTGTCTTTTCTGTGGGTCTTTCTGCTGGACTTCCCTTTGCTCAAAGCATTCTTCCAGGTGCCCTGGACCACCTGCACCTTAAACTTTGCTGACTTCTGCTGGCCCAGATCCCTTGTCTCTCAGGACTCAACTCCAGCACCACCACCTTCAGGTAATCTCCTGGTAAGTCCAATTCAACAGATCCTGTCTCCTAGTTGGCTCCATGGTTGCTGAGTTAGCAAAATTGGTGAACGAGAACAGACTTGCCATTTGACCCGTTTGAACTGAACCTGAGGCTCTTTATTTGTGAGACCTTAGGCAGGTTATTTATCTCAGTGTTTCATGATTCTACAAATTAGTTTGTGTAAGGCACTTAGGTCTATACTTGGTATGTAGTAAGTACAATAGTAATGGTAGCAATTGGTTTAGAGGGCCAATCTTTTTATGGGGTAAGTTCAGCTGTCTTATATAGTGTGGTATAAAACTCCTTTGCAGTCCTCTGACTGCAGGTCTTTCTCACTCCATTTATTACTCCACATTTTATAGTGCTATTCACTCTACCCAGAATTTTCTCCCTTTTCCCCAAGACCTACCTTCGTTATTTCCTCCTCTTGTTTGATGGTACGATGGCTGGAACAGATTCTTGGGCCATTTCCCAGCCCCATACTACCTCAGAGTATTCTTGGGGGAGTATTTGTACAGCAGATATGGCAGGCAAACAAACCTTTAATATCTGTTGGGGCACTGGCCCCAATGCCCAATGTGAAGCCCTAACCCCTGGGGGCTGCATTGGACCCATGTAGTACTGGGTCCTGGTTCTGTTCCCCTTGACCTCCCTCTAGTTCTTGCTTGGTACATGATGAAGAGAGTGGAAAGAGGGAAAATTACACCTCCTTCCTAATTGGAAGAAACCCAGGCAGGCCCTCATCTTACCTCCAATGTATGAGACAGAAGACACAGACAGGAGCCACCCCCAAACTGGGACCAACTCCTTGGTTCACACACTGGGGTTCCACTTCCCAGACTGTGGTTTAGTTCAGTATTCTTGCATTTGGCCAATCCATTCTTTTATTCCTCCTCCTCAGGGGTAAGGCGAAGAGGGGGAGGGCAGCCCTTCTTCCTTAGCCAACATGACTACCTGCTTACTCTTTAAGATTAAGCACTGATGGGTCGGGGATTTAGCTCAGTAGTTTCACTGGCTGCTGCGCAAGCGCAAGGACCTGAGTTCGATCCCTGGTACAAAAAAAAAAAAAATTAAGCACTGAGGTAGTCTCTTCTAGGAGACTCTGACCCTTCTACTTACTGAATTGGTGTGTGCTTTTCAAGTAATATAGTCACAACTGTACTGATATATTTTGATGCTGCCCTGCAGTGGCTGGGTTTCCCTGCTAGATCGAAAGCTACTCCTAATATGGGACCTCTTCTTTTAACATAAGGTATGCTTTAAAGTCTTCTGTTGAATAAATTGCATGTAAAACATTCACACAGGGGTGCTTCTTCTATCTCTAATACTGGGGATGGCCTCATGCATACTGGCCAAGCGCTCATGTATACTGAGCTACACCCCCAGCCCCAAGTATGCTGAATTTGGCAGTCAAGGGCTTCATCCCACTTCTGTGAATAGTCAGGATGCAGAGATGAATCGACTCAGTCCTGGACTATAAAATTATGTGATATGTACAGAACAGAGAGAGGGAACTTGGGGAAGGGAATCTGAGTGAACCAGGGAGACTTCATATTAGAGCTGCATTGTATTAGGTATCCATTGCTGAGAACAAGGTATTCCACACTTTAGTGGCTTAAAACAGCCACCATTCATTATTTCTCAAGATTCTGTGGGTATATTGGGAGATTCTTGTGCTGGCCCCAAGGAAAGATGGGAAAAATAAAGATAGGCAAAAAGGAGACAAAGAAAATCATAACTTTAAAAATAAAACTGAACATTCAGGTATACAAGCCCATTTTAAAAACTTTTTTTCTTTTCTCCCAAGAAACAATAAACCAGGTGTCTTAGTTACTTTCTTGTCGCTAAGACACAATACCCAGCACCCAAAAAATAAAAGAGAAAAGGTTTATTTTGGCTCACAGTTTGTAGAGGTTCTAGTCCACAGTCATCTGGCTCCAAGGCAGGGTGGCATGGCAGAGGGGCACGGCAGAGGAGAATTGCTCATAGCATGGAAGGCAGGTAGCAGAGAGCAACCAAGGAGGGAGCAAGATACAGCTTTCCAGGCCACGCCCCAGTGACCCACCTCCTCCAACCAGGCTTCACCTCCCAAATCACATAAACTCATCAGTGGACTAATCCATGGATGAGTATCACTCCCATGATTCAGTCACTTCTCAAAAACTCCACCTATGAGCGCATGAAGCTTTAGGGGGACATCTAGATATAAACCATAACACCTGGAAAATTCCCTTTTACTTACAAAGGACTTCAGCCATTCTCTTTTTATCTACAAATAGACTTCTTTCACCTTTGAATAGACCATCTCTTTTCACCTATAAAATAGACCTTTCCCTATAGGTGGGCTATGGCTCTACCACCTATAATCATTGTTCCCTATGATCAGACCATCACCCCTCTCCCCCCAAGAGCTATCATCCTTCATCAGTAAAATGAATACTGTTTCCATAGATTCACAAGTTCTATAGATTTACCCCAAATCTCCCCTAAACATATTCAGGGCCAGACTATGATACACCTCTTTCTTGAGGACCCACACTCTTTTTCAAGTATATACTTAGAAAATTCTGAGCAAAGCCAGGCATGATGGTGCATGCCTCTAATTCCAGCATTTGGGAGGCTGAGGTAGGAGGATTGCCACAAGTTTGAGGCCAGCATGGGCTAAATAGTGAGTTCAAGGCCAGCCTGAACTACATAGTGAGAGTTTCCAAAACAAAATTTCTACCTAATAAATCTCTATGCTTCTTACTGAAATGTCGAATATTCTTTTTCCATGATGGAAGTCAATGAACTTACAACCTACTCCATAGGTAGAATGGGTTTAGGTTCCTCATCACCACTTTGGGAACCCCTTAGGGCCCTGTCCAGTGATAGATTCACCTGGGCTTGCCCATGTGGCTGTCCATATTCCACTAGTGGTAAATCAGAGCTGGCTCAGCTGGGATGGCTGCGCCTCCTATTCCTGTGCTGTCATTTTGGGCTGCTTCATAGTATGGTGATCTCAGGGTTCTAAGGCGATGAGGCCTGGTCTGCAGAACTTGTATAACATTAGTCCTACTCATACCATTGGTTATGGGGTCTGGGGACGGGTTCCTGGGTTCTTGTATGCCACAAAGAACTGGACATAGCACATGATGAAAAGGAAACTGGCAAAGTTTATGAAGATGAAAGTATGCTCAGAGCAAGTCGGCTTGGGCCAGCGAAAGGAAAATGGCCTGAGTGCAGAGGACATAGGGTGTACAGGTTTAGATGTTACACCCTTTTTTTTTCTTTGGTACTGGGGATTGAACTTGGGACCTTGTGCTTTCGAGGCAGACACCGAAACCACTGAGCTAAATCCCTGGCCCTCTCACCTGTTTTAAGGTGCCTTCTACTACCCCTAGAGCATGATTGACAGGGTGCTGAGTCATGTTTGCTCTGTCTTTTGTGCATGTCTTTTCCTGTAAGTCACTGTTATAACTG